TACTACGAAATAATTAATTAGTGTATTTAGGTGAAGTCCACTCTTCCTATAGAAACTTCTTGTATACTTATTCTCTCTAAAGGCAGCATACGAAGATCTTAATCTTAAGACGCGGTACCAAACTGAATCCATACTTATTTTTCGAATAAACCGCATTTTTTAAGTTGTATTTGAACGTAAAAGAGTTTTCGAAAAGAAAAAATGTAGTTTGTTTGAAAATAGCGGTAAGCTGTATAAATTGTGTTACCAAATCAAACATTATATATATTATTTTTATTGCAGAATATCATATCAGTACAATTGACCTAATTTCTCTTAAAATTTTTGCAGAAAATTAACTCAATTAGTAGTTGTAACAACAATTTTTCAATACTTTTATAGTTTTTTTTTATGACAAATTTATTTTACCGGCAATGCTTCACTGTTATCCGACTCAACGCATGTGGTGGTCAGTGGGCCTGGCCCACTTCTCTCTTTTACCTTTTTCTCTTCAAGCGATCTCTCTCTCTTTGGTATACAATAAAGCCAACTCTTACTATCGTACGCATCTTTTCCGCTCACGATAGCACTCCCACTACGCATTCTCCTGGCGCAATCTAGACGGAGCTCTCATTATCGCGCCTTTAATCAGACTCCACCGAGACGTGTCGCTTTTGTGACTTGTCCACGTCACTCTTCTTGTCTCTCTTATCTTCGTCCCTAACCTTTTTCGCCATTTCTAGGGTTTCTGCAATCTCACTCCAATCTCTCTCTACTGTTTTCTTCTCTCGTTGTATCGAATCGACTGAGTTTGAGTTCTTTTAGCTTCCGTTTTAACGCCGGCGATGGGGTCGGTCCCCGATCCAGGCGAGTTGACTGAGTTAGCTCAGCCGAGTTTCGAGGAGTTTCAGAGGCAGAATTCGTTGATGACGAGCTGCACTCTTCTGTGGAAAGAGCTCTCCGATCACTTCACTTCGTTGGAGCAGAATCTGATGAAGAAATCTGAGGCGTTAAAGCAGATGATTGAAACCCTAGACAACCAGACTCAGACCTCGCTTGAGTCACTTAACCGCAGGGAGGTCACGATTGACCACAGCGTCGAGATTGTTGCTGGAAAAGTTGGGGAACGAGCTAGGGCTGCTCTGGAATCGCTTGAGAAAGCTAGAGATGGTGGTGGTTCTAATGGAGATGATTCCGGTGAGGTCGACGATGACGAAGGGCTTCTCTCGGCGCTGAAGTCTCTCTGTTTGAAGATGGACGCTAGAGGATTCTGGAACTTCGTGACGGCGAGGAAAAAGGAACTGGAGAATCTCCGGTCACAGATTCCGGCTGCTTTAGTTGATTGTGTGGATCCGGCGATGTTAGTGCTTGAGGCGATATCTGAGGTATTTCCGGTGGATAAAAGAGCCGGAGAGAAAGTGAACAACGATTTCGGATGGGCTTGTGTGGTGATTCTGGAGAGTTTAACACCTGTAATGGTCGACCCTGTGATCGGAAAATCCCGGCTGCTTGTTACTCCGAGCGTTAAGGAGAAGGCTAAGGAGATCGCAGAGACGTGGAAGAAGAGTTTAGAAGAGAGAGGAAGGATAGATGAAGTGAAGACTCCTGATGTACATACGTTTCTGCAGCATCTTGTGACATTTGGAATTGTCAAAAGAGAAGATCTTGCTCTGTACAGAAAGCTTGTAGTTGGATCCGCGTGGCGTAAACAGATGCCAAAGCTTGCTGTTTCGGTTGGTTTGGGTGATCAAATGCCTGGTAAACCTACTAATTACTCTTTCCCTTTTCTTATGGCTTTGATCTCCTCTTGCTTAATGTCAAGTAACGTATGGATAGATTGCCTTAGTTGTATCGAACATTGCAACTTTTGCCCCCATTGGAATATACAGTTTTATAGGTTTTTGCTCAACTTCATGTACCTGTTACTAGATATAAGTATGTAGGGCTTTTGTCCTTTCAGGCAGTTTCTTCATTTTCTGAGATCTTCTTCTGGTGATACTTAAGAGTCATGTTTCAAGGTTATATGGGTGATTGATGGCAGACATTATGTAGCTTAAGTCGTGGCAGATTAGAACTGATAAAGTTGAAGCCTTTGCTCTATATTCTTGTTTTATAATATCTGAACTTAGGAATGATGGCTTGAGTTGATTTGCTTTCCACAGACATGATTGAAGAATTAATCACCAGGGGACAACAGCTTGATGCTGTTCATTTTACTTATGAAGTTGGTCTTGTGGATAAGTTCCCTCCTGTTCCTTTGCTCAAAGCCTATCTAAGGGATGCAAAGAAGGCAGCAGCTTCTATCATGGAGGACTCCAGCAATACTGGCCGAGCTACGGTATCTACTCATTTGTTATGTTACAACTAACATTTATATATGCAAACAAAATTCAGTATCTTTGTGAAACCGTCTAATTAAGTGTTGTCATGTTTTTCTCTCCTTAGCATATCGTGGCGCGCAAGGAGCAATCAGCCCTTAGGGCGGTCTTAAAATGCATAGAAGAGTACAAACTCGAGGAAGAGTTCCCTCCAGAGAACCTCAAGAAGCGGTTGGATCAGCTAGAGAAGACCAAAACCGAGAAGAGAAAACCAGCAGCTGTACCCGCAAACAAGAGAACCCGAGCCAGCTACAACGGTCCAATGCCACCAGCCAAAGCCGGGCGTATCACAAACGCATACGTCTCATCCTTTCCGTTCATCAGATCACCGTCTCACTCTCCTCAGTACGCTTCACCAGCAGCTTACCCATCCCCACCCACTACCGTCTACAGCAACAGGAGCCCGCCGTACCCATACTCACCTGAACTTATCCCCGGCTCATACCAAGGCTCTCCCATCGGTTACCCAGCATACAACGGTTATTGCAATGGTCCGGTCCCTGCTCCAGCACCTCCGGTTTACCACCCGCACTACCACCAGCACCACCAACACACCCACCATCAGCAAGCTTACTACTGAATTTAGACAGTGTGACAAACAAGAAGGAAGATGGTAACCAAAAAACCACTGATACTGTGACAACTACTCTGTCTGCATCTTTGTGTCTGTACGTTGTCGTTTTGTCTGTAATATCTTCGCAGCCTAACA